TTTTAATATAATTTTATTTTATTCAAGAAGTCAACTTAAGAGATAAAAACATATGAAATGTAAATGAAAAAAAAAAAAACAATTTGTAATGTTTCAATTTTTAAACACGTATAACGTATTTTTTTTAATATTATGTTGGTAATACTGTTTATCGACATATTGTATGACAAATGACATGTGTGACAGCATGGTTTTTCCATTTTCAAACTGTTTAATACAAAAAATAAAATAAAAATATAAAAAAATAAATAAAAAAATATAGAAACAAACATTTTCAACGCTAAGCATTTTAGGCTATTTAAAAATTGAAGTTGCATTATGAACATATTATTATTATTATTATTAATTAATTTGTTTCAGTAGTACAGAGTAAGACTTATGTCTTTTAATAGTACTTCAACTATATATATATACATATATTATGTTTTACAATACTTATTTTACTAAGCAAGTTTCTTAAATTAAAATTTTTACAAATTTTCTCAAACAACAAATTTTACTAAACAACAAAATACAATATATGTAACTTAACAATAACAACGAGTATGACTTAATTAATAGAAAAGAAAAAAAAATATTAGAATAGAACAGAAATAGTGCTATCAGTCATTTTTAAAATAATTGTAGATTTGTGTCCTGTAGTTGAATCTGTTTAACCCACTCTTTACGGTTTCAGGTAATGAATTCCAGACTCTTTCTGCGTTAATGAAAAATAGTCTTGATGATGCTAGGTAAGTAAATTTTGGAACAATACAACTGTTGTGTCTCTGTGACCTTACTGGTATCAGCTTCTCAAAGAGATAGGCAGGTATTTTAAATACAGTAAGTTTGTAAATAAATATACAATTCCTAGCGGCCAAATAGTTCTCAAGACTACAACCCAGGATATTTGTTCGACAGGCAGAAATGCGCTCATATCTACCAATCCCATATACATAACGTGCAGCATTGTTGAATGCTACATTGAGTTTATGGCAAGATATTGAGTCCAGTTTGCTGTATACTACCTCAGAGTAGGTGATGATTGGCATAATTATTTGGAGAACTAATTTACGCCTGGTTTCCAGTGGCGTAAATGTTGCAGAAACTGTCAGCTTACGCAGTATCGCATACACGCTGCTCACAACCTTATTTATGTGGTCAGTACATGTAAGTTTAGAGTTAAGAATAAAACCTAAATTTCTTATCTTATCCGTAAAACTAAGCGGACTGGTACCTATCCACAGTTTTGGAATACAGTCGACATACACCACACTATTACATACAGGCAATACATACGACTTTGACGCATTTAAACATAGAGAATTTCCAGCAGCCCGAACAGAAATAGCAGACAAGTCACTGTTTATTTTGAAACATAAATCCTCAGCGAGACCAATACGACTGGACAGGTACAATTGTATGTCATCAGCATACGCATGGATATTCACATATTGACAAACAGGAAAGATATCATTGACAAAGACACTGAATAACAGTGGACCGAGGACAGAACCTTGTGGAACACCAGCATACACAAATCTAGACCGGGATATTAGTATGTTTGACTTAACCTTCTGCGTTCTACCCTCCAGGTAGCTAACCATAAGTTTCACCGCACTGTCTTTGAAGCCGAAATAATGTTTGAGCTTCAGACACAACAATTTGTGATTCACTGAGTCAAACGCCTTTAAGAAGTCGAGTAAGCAAAGAAGTGTCAGGTCGCCATTGTCAAAGTTAATTCTAATATCATCCAGTATTTTGACCACTGCCGTCGAACAACTATGTTTTTGTCGGAAGCCAGATTGTAGTGGAGAAAGCAGACTATTTTCTTGCACAAATGCAGAAATTTGCGCAACCATTAAGTTTTCACAAGCCTTCGAAAAGACAGGCAGTATGCTGACAGGTCTATAGTCGCCAGCATAAGTAGCATTCGTCTTCTTCAGAACTGGCAAAATTATAGCTTTTTTCCAAACTGCTGGAAAGCATGAGCTAGTAAAACAATGGTATATTATATGAGTCAGAGGGCCTATTATAAAATCAATTACTATTTTGACGAATTTCAGCGAGATTTCATCTTCCGCTATAGCGTAAGACTTAATTTTTGACAGGGCCATCAGGACCTCAACTTCGCTAACTGCCAT